CCCGGGCTGCATCCCATGGGAGCCCTTGCGTGTGAAGCCTGTTTCCTGGCTAGATCTTTGACCTGAGACCTGGGTAGGGCGGCACCCATTAAAAAATCCTGAGCTGGGCTGGAGAGATAGCTCAGCAGTCTAAAGTTCCTGCTTATGCAGTGTAGGCAATCCCAGGGACCACAGTTCTTACCCAGCACCACAGGCTACGCCAGCCCTGCCCCTAGGATGGGCTGAGCCAGCCACAAAAACAAAAACACCTGAGCTACACTTGCCCCCCCATTTACATTATCTCTGGAAGCCTGGCTTGGTAGCAGCTCTTGGGAGGCTAAGGCAAGAGCCTGAGCTACATGTGAGACCTTGTCTCAAAAAGACAAAAACAGGGGCTGGTGAGATGGCTCAGTGGTCTAAAGCACCTACTTAGAGCAAGCTTAGTAAAGCCCAGGGACCGCGGTTCAATCCCCAGCACCACATGCCAGCCAGCCCCGCCCCCTGACTCCTTGGTCCAAGGTCACACAGCACGTAGAGTCCAGAGCACCTGGCTCCCAGCCCCATCCTGCTGCTGCTGTCCTCCTGCTCCACCTGTCCTTGCTCAGCCCTGGCATCCGGCCTGGAGCCCCTCACTCAGGAAAGCCATTGGGTAACCCCACTGTACTTATGGGCAGAGACTGATTCACAACCTCGTTTCCTACTGCCCAGGGCTGCACACCCGCTGCACCCGGGTGCGGTGCCAGAGCCCTGTGCAGTAGCCAGCTCTGCTCTTTCTTTCTAATGCTGTTACAGCGCAATGGGCCAGAAACAGTCCAGGCGCTGCACACAGCGAGGACGGCCAAGCAAACACCTGGCAGTAAGCAGCCAGTTACTGAAGATCAGCAGGAGCAGGCAGAGGAGGAAAAGGAACCTGCGGTTACAGAAGAAGCTGCGTTCACCTGGCAAGCCTGGGCTGGGGTGTTGGTTCTCAGACTCCGGTAGGAGAAAGAAGGACCCTCCATAACTCCAGCTGCCAGCCTTTATCTCCGAGGGCCTCCCATTCTGTGCCTCACTGAAGTTGATCTGCGTGTGCTCCAGGCATCTCCACGCCTAAGCACACATGGGGATGATCTCTGGGGTGGTGTTGTGCCCATAGTTGTATGCAGGGAAGGGAGTGGCTCCCTCAGACTTCCCAGACTGGTTTTCCATCATATTAGAGACAGGGTCTCACTCTGTAGCCCAAGCTATCCTTGAACTCACAGCAATCCTCCTGCCTCAGCTTTCTGAGTGGTGGGATTACAGGTATGTGCCACAATGCCTGGTTTACCAACTCATTTCTTTCTTTCCTTCTTTCTTTCTTCTTCTTCTTCTTCTTCTTCTTTTTTTTTTTTTTTTTTTTTTTTTTTGAGACAGTCTCAGGGCTGGGGAGACAGCTCAGTGGAATAAGTGCTTGCCTTGCAAGCACAAGGTTCTGAGTTTGATCCCTGGTACTGCAAAAAGAAAAGAAAGACAGTCTCTGCATGTAGTTAAGGAGGCTAGCCTTGAACTCACTTTGTAGTCCAGGCTGGCCTCAAACTTGAAGTGATCCTCCTGCCTTAGCCGCCCAAGTGCTGGGGTCACAGGTGTGTACCATTATGCCCAGCTTCAAGCTTTTTTTTTTCTTTTTTGTGGAACCAGGGATTGAACTCACGCCCTTGCGCTTGCTAGGTAAGCACTTATTCCACTGAGCCATCTCCCAGGCCCCATGCCTCAAGCTTTGATATGGGAAGAATTATGATTTTCGCTTGCAGATGAGGCTAACAGTTTACCAAAGCTACATATCAAGACAATACCAATAATATACCTGACTGGCTTTAAAGCTCTAGGTCAAACTGTCTTTTCACATGAGACACATTCAACAAACTGCAAGAACATTTATTGAGGAATGACTGTGCACAGAACACCGGAGAAGATGAGGGCAGGGGCTCATGAGCCCAGGGCTGCTGTTGGGGAGTTGAAAGAGCCATCATGCACTTGGGAGGCTGAGGCAGGAGGATCGCCCAGAGTTCACAACCAACCTGGGCTACACAGCAAGATCAAGGCTTCTCGGGCAGACATCTCAAAAGATCTGAAGGATATGCAGGATTCTAACAGAGTTGGTGGGAAAGAGGTGCTGAGGAAGGGCAGACAGAGTGAAAGCAGCAGCCATGGGAGATTAAGCTCAAAAGCTCAGTGCAGGCTACGTGGAGGAAGAGGTCCCGGAGCCCCAGGGGGCACTGTGCAGGGGCAACCCAACTCAGGGCCACTAGAAGACCTGCCCCGTGGGAGAATGGGCCCTGCGGATGCAGCGCAAGACCTTTCCTTCCCCTGGGGCACGAAGAGCTTGGAGCTGCAGGTGGGTTACAGCCTGGGAGTGGACAGGGGCCAGGATTCCAGCTGGCACAGAGGCTGTGGAGGGAGCCAGGCTGAGGCAGGAGGTCCTGTCATCCCTGCCCAGAAGTGTTCCCAGTGGAGTGAGGGGGCCTGCGCAGAGGACAAACATGAGAAGGGCCTCCCTCTGTAGACTCAGGGCTTCCTGGCCCAAGGGAGATTCTAGGGTAGGAGTCCAGGAGTTATCCCTGAAGATCTCCCATGTGGTCTCCCCTGAAACACACTTTCTTTTTTCTTTCTTTCTTTTCTTTTTTCTTTTCTTTTTTTTTTTTTTTTGAGAGTGAAATGGAGGATCT